ACAAGGTTCACATGGGCTATGAACTTGGCTTATTAAAGTGGGGTGATATCGTGGTGGATCTGGTAAGAGATGTCCATATGTGGCACGGCTCAGGGGGCGGCTCCTAGCTGTTCTGACAGGTTAGTTGGAGCTTTAGAGTGGTAGCATGTACTAGATTTAATCTATGTAATGACCTCGTAGTGAAACCCAAGCACTTACCTTGGAAGTGTTCAGGGGGGCTCATGGCCTGACAAACGAAAATTGTGGCATGTGGCCTCTAGGCAAGGATGTATAACCTCTACAGAGTGTTTGAATACTGTTGCAACAGCTATGCTCACGGACAAGAGTAGCATAAATCCTCAAGTTGGATAGCTGGTTGTAGTTTTGTAGAGGCGTGCCCTCTGTTGTTCAGTGGGTCTTTGGAAGACTTTCACTTAGTAATTAGGTGCTAAAATAGCATGCCTATTAAAAAGATACAATGTAGAACCAAGCTATTTTCTGTGTTTATGCCCTAGTATGTCATTTATTTCCCACACTTGTTGCATGCAATCTTGCCCACACATGTTCTATTATATTATTTGGCAAAATCTAGGATGAGTATTTAGAGCAGGAGACTAGAGAAAAATTTCCTAGCGAATTTTTAGAGTTCAGGTGTATGTGTATTCCTCGGCCGGTTGTCTGTGGTGGGAGTTTTGCCGGTGATATCTTTTATATGTGCTTTTACTATTGCTTTATGTTTTCGTTGTAAAGAGTTAGTCAACTCTATAATAAATAAATTTATTCATACTTGTTATTTATGATATTGCTACTGTTAAACATTGGTGATGTCGCCATGCATGTATGTGAAAATTGATCTTGTCACAAATATGGCGTACACCTGACTTTCTTTTTAAAACTGGGTGTGACATTTTAAATTCCCAAGACCACCTATACACAGAGATTTCACATGAAAAACACATGACACCTGCCATGCGGCATTTTGTAGGACATGCGACGATATGTGTACCACGAGTACCCTCACCAACCAAGGAGCCAAACCAAAGCTACCACTAAGTCCCCATCTGACTGTCCTCAGTCGGAGGGCGACTTGTGGGCCTATAAAAGGCAAAGCGCCCAACCCAAGCTCGGGGCATAGGGCCCGGAGAATAATCGGGAGGCGTCATGAATGGCTGTCTCGGAGAACAATCGGGAGGTGTCCTAAATGGCCGGTCGCCTGGGCCCTTTAGACTAACAACCGAACGAGTTTAGAACCAGGCAACGTCCCGACCTCCGACCTCAAAGTTTTGGTTGGCTCGTCCAACCCCAAGTCCACTCATGCCACTCGGAGCCTCGTGGGAGGCCCGCTTGAGTAGACCACGCAGTTGGGTGAGTACAGACCCTTCCACTGCAAGATAAGATGACAACCAACATAGTTCCTACGAGGCACAAGATCCTGTGTAGAATAGAAGATAGGGATGACCCTATCGTCGACTGTGCAGGGTTGTTCTTGCCTCGCGGCGATGTGCATGGATGCGTGCACGTTCTCCCCCATCCTGAACAGGGGAAGATTTACCACATGATCTCGGCCACCACATAGTTACATATTGACAATAGAAAGGATGGACCGGATGACACCAACATGGGGCTCTATCAAGACGACTGATGTGTAGGACCACCACTATTTATTTTTGTAACCCGCCCCCTCAGCTATATAAGTGGGATTGGGGCTTCTTTCTAACACTATGTACTACACACTCACTTCGAGCATCACAGTTGTCAGTTTGTAAACCCCTACCGCAAACTTGCCTGTTTAAGCTCATGAACATGATACACTACTCTAACTTGGCGTAGGGCCTTTGTTTGAACCACTATAAATCCTGAGACCCAAAGCGCTAAGCCATCTGGACAAACACGCGACCACAAATTTAACATACGGAACACCGACAACATTATTTGACTAGGTGACTTCTTTTTTGAAAATGTTATCCCTCACTATTCTAGCATCATGCCACCATAAATAGATTTTTTCATGGCTGATTATATGTGGTAGATAAATGAGGTCATTTTTTGAAAGAATATCTCACGACTACAAAAGCATGCCTAGTAGGATTCATGAACTACGTGTGATGATTCTTAGTGTAGTAATGAAGTAAAATGCATGGACTTGTCCCATTTATAATTTATAACGCAACAGCATGTTAAAAATTGAGAACACAAATCTATATTATTCATGCAACTTTGTATGCTAAACATACTAATTTAATTAATCATTTAATAAAAGTTTTAATACCATTATTTTAAAATAACTTTATCCTTACATTATTAGGGAGTTGATAGCAAGTGTCTCAACTTCTATCCTATCATTATTAGGTTGCTTTATTTAAAAAAAAACTTTAGGATGGATTACTTGCCATGGGAGTATATTAATCTCCAACTGCTGACGGCATAACCTAAGAATGCAAGGTGAAGCCGACTTTTTATTTGCTCACGCTTTTGTGGCCTTATTATTGCTAATTTCTTGGGCTGCTAATTAAGATATTAATATATGTGTAGAAATCCACTATCATTACCATCCGGGGGAAAATAATACGGAGTACTCACGAAAGAATCACCATCCGAGAAAAGAGGACCCAAAAACACGCTAGTAGGTAATTTATTGATTATCTAATCGTAGAATCCCCTTAATAAATAGGGACTACTCTAATTCAAAAGCTACATGAATGCTTGTAGTGAACTCTGAAAAAAGAGAAGTTTGTAATCTAAGCAGAAGCATGTATATGTCATGAACCTTAATTAGTTCATGGTAAGCATCGTAGGGAGGATAGCTGAGCAACATTGGCTTCTTAGAGCAACTTCAGCAATAACCTGCAAACCAGGGCCTCTCCTTTTTTATTTGAGGACACCCCCATTTTTTAGGGCTTGTTTTCTAGGGTGCAGTCCATCAGTGGTCCTTCAAATTGTCCCCAAATTCATTTCAATAGAGAATGACATATGGGACCCGATTGCCATTGACTTTCTTGGCCAAAACACTAGGAATCGGGGGAGGCAGAGCATCGGCCCTAAGAGCGATGAGAGGAGCGGGACCCGGCCATGACCTCTATATGTTGCCGCTGAGAGGAGTCAAGACTCGGCCGCGGCCTCACTGCCAAGAGGGCCAGCCGCGACGTCTACCCGTCGCCAGTCTCGCGGGCGAGGAAGAAACATGCACGAGCGTGGCAGCGGGCAAGGAATGTTGTGCGCACGAGATTGGGACGGGTGCGGACGATGATCGCGGGTGGGGTGAGGGTTGTACATGTTGGATGGGGAAACCTGGCGGCACGTGCGCGAGGGGAAGGAGGCGGGCGAGGGAGATGAGCGGGACCAAGCAGGACCAATGGTGCACACAAAAACGTCCAAAACGGTGATTCGAGGTCCGACACCAGAACCCAAAGGAATGAGGACCAGGAGTAGGTTTTGAGTGCCCCCTCAAATTTGAGGTCTCTAGTAGAGGCACAGCTAGACCTCTATTTTTATTTCAAACCCTTAAATTTAATTTCGTTGGTCTAAGTAGATGGCCTGCTAGAATTGCAGTCCATTCGTAGTGGATATGCAAATAGAATGTATGACCTAGCAATCTGGATTATCCAACCGGATATATGATATCCAACTAAGGGTTTATTTGAATACCCATGTATTGACCTCAGTCCAGGTATGTCTAAGTGGTTTAGTATGGAATTTAAACTAAACTAGATATGCGCCCGTGTGTTGCACCGTAGTTACAATTTTTTGAATTGAACCTTAATAATCTAACGCGAACACGTGAACCCTGAGGACTTTGTATCGGACATGGACACGTGAATCTGGTCTTCGTATCGTACCTGGATAGGACGCGGATGTGTGAGCTCCGAGTCACAACCAAAATATTAAAGTTCTCCTAGTGAGGTGGAGTTCTCCTAGTGTTTTGGTATTCAAAATTTAATATAATTTTTTCCTACTAAATGTCTCGTAGTGAGATTCTCATGTGCTATGACCAGTGATAGTGTATTATTACCACTTAAAAACATTAGGAGAATTTCACCATTTTGGTAGTAAGTGGAGTATATTCGTATCAGACGCAGACGCGTGAGTAGGGATCAAGATTTGGTATCACCAGGTAGATGATAACTTTAGAGTCTTTTTAGGTGTAGAGATTTCACATCGAACCACTTCAACATACATGGATTATAAGGTGGATAGATGAACATCCAAACAAGGCCTAATAGTATCTTTATATTCGTATACGATATAAAAAACTATCCAAATCTGTTTCGCAAAAAAAAAAAACTATCCAAATCCATATTTGTCATCAAAAAGATATTCCTATATGGGTAGATCGTTAGTACTGGACTACATGAGAGAGGGATGCAAGTGGGCAGGAGAGATGGAAATCAAACGCCGACATGCAGACCTGCAGTGGGCGCGTGAAATATAAGAGAGGAAGAGATAAGGGAAGATGTAAGGTTGAGAACGTGACCCATATATATTTTTCAGGAACAGTTCTATATCGATTGCCTCTAGATGCATTGACTTATTTGGACTCGGTTCTTCTGTGTGTATAAATAAAGATCGATACACATCTCTATTTATATAGAGGTTTACGTTGCTTGATTAGCCAACTCATAAACATGGAACTCAATGATTAGCGTTCATCTATACTAGTAGGGAATAACGCAGAAGAGTATATAAATAAAAGATTAAAGAGGCGAGAAGATATATAAACCGGTGAATGGGCATATATGCATGCACACACACAACTGATGTCTTGGTCGAAACCAAACCAAAACTACAGTACAGTAAGATGTATTACTAGTAGGGAATCTGAACCAACAGCAAGTTTCATTTGAAGATACATATGCAGCAGTACAAAGCGTGCAAAAGCTACTGTAATCAAAGTCGATTTCCTTCTCAACTTCCATGCAGCTGACCCACCAGTGAATAGCCCACATCCGGTATGCTTTCTGTTGATGCTGACTAGGAACGTTCGCTACCTAGATGTTTCCATAGAGCACCTCATGCCTTGGTATCTACTTTTGAGGGACAGTAGCCTTGCTGCCTGCCCATCCAGCACCAACCATCTCCCCTTGCATAGCAAATACCAATGCACCTTCCCGTTCTATCTCTCGGATAATTTGATCAAGTTTTGGAGTTTTTCGGACAACAAAACCCATCAGCCTGCCTGGGGTATGTCCCATACTAGGGTTAATTTGTCCTTGGCTTGCTGGAAATGCAGCGGCATCAGTAGCAACAGGAGTAGCTTCTGCCTGTCCCCCTTCTTCACTAGGGGCTTTAGGATCAAAGACCTTGTTGGTTGGCCCTTTGAGACGGCTAGCTTTAACTTCTTGAGTACTTTTATTAGGAGGCAACATATGTCTTTCCAAAGGTATGGCGCTCGCCATCCGAATCATTTCTTCATTTGGTTCTTCACCTGGTAGCATATGATTAGGCTGGTCTAAGACAACATTTTGCTGCTTTTCCATCTCACAACACCCCACAACACTAAGTGGTTCTTCAACCACAACACCTTTGTCTTCCCTACGCTTGAATACTCCCCATAGATAGTGTTTTCTCTGAAATGCTGCAAAATAAGAGAGACCGGTGTGTCAATGAACCAAAGAATGGAACAAGGTGTCATGCATAACCACTAATATAACTAGGCTTGCCCATAGTCACATCACATAAAACAGGGTCAAAGGCAATGACCCTCTACCTAGGAACATCATCCTCGATGTGAGTACGCGGGGTCATTTTGGACTATGCCTTGTAAAAAAACCCTCTCAAGCAAGCATATCATGTTCCTCAACCTTATCGACCCGGGATTTTTGTGACTATGGGCTTAACTTTGACTGAGGGAAGAGAACATTAAAAAAGATAACATACTCTGGTGATGACTAGACAGTAGAATAGAAGGGAATATCAACATCTCGGCTTCACCAATAATAGCCCGCAAAGCTAAATCATTTTGCATGACTTCTCTAACTAGTTGGTCCAAGCCTTCGTCTTGCCTAGGGATGCAAAAGAGGGAATTAGGCATTTTAATTCTCCTGGATGATAGTGGTGAAAAGTTACGAAAAGGTTAAGAAACACACCTCATTTCATGAGGAAATAAATAGATGCCAATGTCGTCGGCAATTGGTTTTGATACCTCCCATGCCTTAGGCCACACCTCCAACCTCGAAAGCTTTTGCACTTCAGCCACTTTAAGCAATTGTTTGGACAAACTCCATGCTTTCTCACATGATTTGGTCGACAAATGTCCATCTAATGATACATATTCCTTATCGTCTGTCTTAAAGATGCCACTGTTGACATAAATAATGAAGACATTAGAACATAAAGCACAATACAAGAATACTTTAAAGATTTCAAAATACAACATCTATTATACCTCCAAGTAGGTTTGTCAATGGGCTTCGAACAACTATAGCATTGTTGTTCAACACATGATGACACTGAGACTTTAAAGTGACCATTCTTTAAAATACTGGCGGTGTCATCCTCCACACCCACATGACTAAGATCACCACCGCCATCTTCTGCTTCATCTTTCCAAGTTACTCTGAATTGTTTGAGTTTCTTCATCTGCTTAGAACTCATATTATCCACTTGTACTCCAACATTACTATCATCATCGAGTGCCTCAGGATCCTTCCTCTTCTTGGACATGGAATTACTGTTTTTTCCAAAGCAATTAGCAAATTGGCCCATGTTTCTTTCTATAAGCCCTCTTTTCTCAACATTTTCAAAAGTCAAGTTCATAGAATGGTTGTCCCTTTGAAATTCTAGAAGGTCACTACCAAATGGATATGAAGGGATGCTCCCTGAATTGGTTGGTTGTGAAGCATCATTCACCTCTCGTTTCCTTTTTAAGGCATGTGTTTCGTTCAATCTGGCTTTTCCATCGACCGTTGACCTTGAGAGAGCCTTTGGTTTCTCTACCGAAATCGAACGTTTTTCGAAGCATGAGGCAGTAGGCTGCTTCATACCCTTTGATGTAGAAACATGATTTGACCTGCTAGCACCCTTTGCCACTGATGAATTGTTCACTATTTTTGCACTTGGCTGACCAATGTTGATATTCTTCGAAGGAAATTGTTTGCCCGGTTGTGAACCAACATTCACTTTATGATTGGCTTTATTTGCAACAGGACGCATATTCGCTCGAGTTTTCTGAAACTCCCTCCAAGACTTGTTCAGAATTGGAGACTTCTTCATTGATCCAGTTGCCGCCCGTCTATTTGGGCTGAAAGATTTTGTATGGCTTGGCATCCCTGTTACCAACATAGAAAACAAAGCTATGACTATAGTGCTATGTTCATTTATATAACAAAATTGCAAGGCTGACCAATTTAACATTTATTGTTTGACGACTTAGCACTAAGAACCAAGCAAACTCATGAAAAACATTGGTAAATCTTTCTTTTTGTTGATTTCATCTAGTAATCTAGTAAGAAGGGTAAGCCTAGAACACTACCATTGGTGTATATATATATATATATATATATATATATATATATATATATATATATATATATATATATATATATATATATATATATATATATATATGCTTCACTCCGCTCCTTTTTGGCTCACAGAATTAAGCACTGTTTTTTCTGCACGTCTCACGAAATTAAAGATAATACTGTGTAAAAACAATCTATCCCACTCGTTTGACAAGTTTCTAACACTGAGCCCATCTATTATATAGATCTACAGCCAACGTAAATAATCAAACATGAATCCTTCCGAGTGCTCCAAATACCTAAGTATACAACTTACTCACATCATGTTTGTGAGAAATAAATAAATTACATCTTACATATGCAAACAGTACATGTGAATAAAAAAACATAAAAGATCCAACTCAAAACAATGAACGGAAATTAGCAGTAGACTAACGGGTGTGCACGCATACCTCAAAGCCCTGTAGTCTCCTGACGGCGTAAGATACCCGAATGCCTGAAACCGAATACTCCTGGCCGCCGACTCTCCTCTCAACAAAGCTGAATCACAAGGCGTGGAAAGAGCAGGGAGCTGAAGATCAGAACAGAACAAAAGGGCAGCCGTCCGGCCGGGCCCTGGACTTCATTATATAGGCGCCTGGAGGCGGTTTGGGTACCAGGAACCGCCGATTCGTGCGGCATACGGAGAGTCGAGGCGGTATTGGAATTTGGAAACGGAGCGCAGACATTACGGAAACCGACCTTCGACGGCGCTGTATATTCCTTCCTTTTTCTTTTCTTTCTTTTTTTCTTTCACCCCTTTCCTTTTTTTCTCTTACGTGACGCTCACGCACTGATTGCCATGCTGGGCCCAAAGCCGAGGAGAGTCATGATCAGCACTGCCGGCCCCGTCAACTGATGTAGTATCCATCTCCTCTTGGGCCACCAAATTCTCCGTTACCCATCCAGCCCAGCCCAAATACTCGCCATTTCCTCGTTACATACATACTTCTTAGATTCAGCCCATATATCATTTCCTTTCATCTGAGGTCGGGATCTTCTTCTCTTCTACGTATAGTAGACCAAACTATATACGAAATAGTAGGACTACAATTCTACAAAGCATCATCTCCTATATACAACTCAGATCCGGCAGTATAATTCGATAATGATTGGTTATGTTGTTTTCTTAATTCTTAAAAGTAGAGGTAAAACTCTTTTAATAAACCAAAAAAACGACTCGTAGATATCCAATATCCCAAGGATATTGAGCGTATTTTATCTGCATCCGTTATCTATTTTAGTTATCCGGATTAAACCTATATCGTCGGACGGACAATCACGGGTGCATGTTGACGTGCGGGATCACGATCTGCGGCGTTAGCACGTGTGGGACATATTCTGTGCGACTCGCTCTGTGGAATTTGGACATGCACGCTGTTCTGCTCTATCCCGTGTTATGCCTGGGGCTGGGGCCCGTTTGGAATAGTCTGAGCTCCATGATCCAGGTTCGATTTATACTTCCTTCCTTCCTTCTAAAATAAATCAAGTTTTAGGAACGTAACCAGAAGTGTGTTTTAATCTTAGGCCGGAAGGAGTACTTTATTTATATAGATTTATAGATTAAATTATATCTGTATTTGTATCTGTGCTCTATCATCATCATCATCATCATCATCATCATCATCATCATCATCACACTATAAATGAGCGAGTTTTTTTGTGTGGGGGGCTATCCGTCTTTTATAACTATTCAATCTTTACGCCGTGTCACATGAGCCTTCCATCGTCTAAGATCTTACTTTCCTTCATAAATAATCGTTAGATCTAGACGCTGTTTCCATCATCATGTATAAATATAGTACTTTTTTCTTCCTCCATATTTGTGAACATGGGCTCTTGCATGTAGATGTACCTGAGGAGTACACATACGTGCCGAACTCACCTCCATATTCGAAGCATCGTTTTGAACATGGACTCTTGCATGCAAGGTTTTCATTATTCCGAAATAAAAATTTAGCGGAGGTCATGGATAAATAGGATAAGCAGGATATATCGGAAATATCGGACCAAATTCAAAAAAAAATCAAATTGTTTTGAAAAAAAATTCGTAGAATTTAACTTGAAACCATTCCTAAGCTATTAAACATCACTTGTTCACAGAGAAAAACGAGAATAAAACATTATAAGTATGGGACCGTCGCGCGGCTGAATTTGAGTTGTCTGTGTGGGAGCATAAAAGAAGGGAAAAATTTGACCGATATCAAATTTTAGCGGACCCTGTGGATAGAATGGAAATTTCGAAAATTTCCGTGAATTTCGGCCGATAAAAAAAAACCTTGCTTGCATGTACATGTACGTGAGGATCACGTACGTGCCGAACTCAGACTTCAATCTCCATGCTCGCGTTCATAGCCAAGTTCCTAGGATTCGAATACGCATACGGATCTTGTTGAATACGAATATAAAACAAATGTCTCGGATTTGGATTTCTATTCGGATATTTACTCAATTCAACAAATATATAAATCAATATAACAAATAATCAATCATTATTTATATAAATAGTTATCATGAAATTATAAATTGTGAAAAATAATTTACATTAGAAAAAAATTAAAGTATTAAAATAATTTTAGACCATTTTTTCGTCCATTTGTTTGTCAGTCTTTCCCTATATGGAAACTATTATGTAACACCCTCGGTGTTACGCCCTAGATAAATTACTAAACCATGTTATAAGCATTATGTTCATGTGATAATGCATGAGGTGGAATATGTGGACAAGATTTTTGTAACTTAAGATGATCAATAAAAATGTTAAATGAAAAACTATTCCATAACTCATGTATATCAAGTAGGATTTAAAACTAATTTTTATTGAACAAAAATGATATAGAACATATATATGGCGCTTAAATAAAGTTTAAAATATGAACTTTGTAGATGACAATGAAATACTTGCCGTGGAAAAATAACATTGCTAACCATCATTTCTAATGGCCTAGAAATGCAACTAATCAAAGTTCAGCTCAGAGTATTTTCAAGTTTATAGAGACGAAGATAATGCTATGTTTGGGAATTTATTTTGTGAAATCGAGTTAAGAAGTGGTGTTGTGTTTTAGCTCGAGTTAGTAGCCTGATGAGCCCTCTTGAGCATGGTGAAGGTGGTTTGGTTCCTAAAGCAACCGTTTAGTTGTTATGGGTGCTTTAAAATGCGTGCACAACACGTTCTCGGGCTGGCTCACCGAGTGGACGCAGTCACCAAGCTTGGGCGCTCGGCATCACTACGTTGGTCGTGCGTGCGCCTGCTGTCGCACGTGGCCGGCTGTGGATGCCTCGCGTTGCCGCTACCGACGCCGTGCTACGCTGCTGCCGCTCGCTCTGCCACCGCGTGCACGTGGGCTGTCTCGGCTACGCTCGCGCCATCGCCTCGTCTTAATGGCGCTGTGACCGCGCAGGCCATGCCCCACTTGGCTCCCCACGCGCGCACAGACAGGGTCGCAAGTCCAGCCGACCGCTAGCTGCCAAGGTGAGGACGGCCAAAGCTCGAACCCGTCCCTCTTTCCCTCTGCTGCCGCCGTTAGAGCCGCACCAGCACGTTAAACAGCGAGAGGTCATCTCCAATCAATTCCGCCCGTCTACGGCCGCGCTAGTGAGTTCTCCCTCTTCCCAACCCCACCCAACCATGAAGCACGCACTGAACCCCACCGCCGTGCCAATAAGGCCGCGATCGGCCGTGGTCGAGGGCAGCCCTCCTACCGCCATCATGAACTAATTCACCTGCACCACTAGCTTTGCCTTGACACCCTCTTCACCCTGCACACCTTAGCTAAACCGCTACAGCCTCCCCGTCGTCGCTGATGCGACTGTGCCGCCATGGTGTGCCGCCGTACGGCTCGGCCGCACGTGGCCAGCCCTTCTCTATCACCCTCTTCTCCAACCGTCACCTCAGCTAGGTCCACGGTAGTCTATTGATGCTCACTCGCTAGCTGGTTAGGTCCTTAGGTGCCCTGGTTCGTTTGGAGCAGGCGCACCACCGTCGTGGATGGCCGCGCGTCGCTGCAGCTCGCTCCAGCGCATCCCGCCGCCCCGCGTTGCTGCTTGGTGTAGGCGGTTGGACCATAGTTGAAGGTCGGCCCAACTGACGGGCCAACGCGAGCCTCTGGTGGCCGGCGCGGTCGTGCCGTCATCGCCGCCGCGCCACCGTGCACTGAGTCACTGGGGTGCGCACGGGTGAATTAGGGAAAGGTCAGGGGGTTAAGTGAGAAGGTCAGTGAGAGGGGGAAATAGTGTTAGTACTCAGTTGTGATTTAGAAGAAGTTTGAGGCCTCTTTTGCATAAATGCCAGCACGCGCGAGATTCCCACCGTCGCGGGCCGTCTTGCACTGCAGGTCGGCCTCGCATGGGCCACATCCGTGGGTCGTCGCGCGCTGTGTTGCGCGGGCCACGCGTGTGGGCTGTGCAGGAGATTCACTTTTCATTTTCCTAAGAAATTAGAAATAGTTTTCTAATTTAATTCTGAGCTGATCTTTGGTAATTAATATAAAATCATGCAGGTGTCCAAAAATTATGAAACAAATTTTGTTAGGTTCCTAAAATTGTGATATATCTGTTGGTGTATTTAGTTCATGTTTGTATGTGTTGACACTAGGAGCTATTAAATCATTTGAGAGTGCTTAATATTATTAAGTTAATCATTGTATGATTTTTTTAGTAAATTGGTGATAGCTTTAGTCGTGAAATTTTTATAGTAGCTTCATTGTATTATTATGTGCTCTCTGTAAATTTTATAGCCTTAGAATAGACTAAGCATTAGGATAGTTAAATGTTCTTTGTTTAAATATACATTAAATCTTTAATATAAATAAAGGTATGCCATTGATTTGCAAAACTAGGTGCTTGTTAGTTGAACACAACACTTTGCTTGATGAAGATGATAGTTAGCTTAGTATCTTAATCATTAGAGCTAGCTTAGTAGTTTAACATGTGTATTCTTATTTTAAGAGTTGCTATTGCCGGAATACTAATTGTTGCATCATCATCATTGCATGCATGTAGAGAATGAGTTGGTGGAGACAGTGACCACCGACGATCGCGAGTTCGAAGAAATCGTCGAGGAATATGAGGAGGAGATTCTCGTGTAGAGGTCCCGAAGCCACAACCGACTGACTCAGCTGACACCGCGCCTGCCCAAGGCAAGCCCCTGTGCATAACCCTTATTTTTTTATAATCACTATATATATGTGATGTGCATTTACGTTACAGGAATCTTATGAAAACCACATGCATAGATATATCTGTCCTATGAGTCTTACTAGTGCAAATTCGAGTAGCTGCTATACTTAGGTTTTCGATAGTGTGAGTAACCTACCGTTACTCATAATAGATGATTGTTATAATTACTCTCATGATAAAAATGATGAAAGGAAAATAGAGATCAAGCAGGGATGTGGTATGGGTATTGCTGGGTGTAACAGGTTATGCCCCGCAGCCAACGGGGCTTAACTTGGTTACACTGTGTTTCCCTATCCATGTCGATTGAGGACCGTCCGTTGCTGTGGATGGTAGTCAGGTCGCAGACTTATTATCCTAAGTACATACTTGCTTATGGGAGCGGGAAGGCTCGTTACGCTCTTGTCATGGGTTCCGGCTCTTTTCAGACCGACTGATTGGATGCGGGGAAGGGTGGAAGTCTAAGCACCATATTAAGACCGGGTCTCAAGTGTGGGGGCTTGGAGTCAAGTTTCGACGGGGACCTGGACCCCTGACAGGAGTGGAATGGGCTGATCTTGTTTGTGCCTGGGGTACAAACGGGGCGTGTGTTTTGGGGTACCCAGTTGGGATACATTGGTTCGTGAATCGCCATTTCTGTGAGATGGTACGACTTGGGTATGGTCTAGCACCGTAGTAAGAACTGGAATATGAAAGATGGTAAAATAGTTCTGATTGCTCAACCCTTTTTGGAAAGTAGAACATATGCTTACCTACAATGGTTAGCTAATGAAGTAATCATGACTGCTAATTAAACTTGATCTTAATGACGTACTTATAGTAATGCTTTTCGCAAATAATAAAGGAAACAATAAACCCATATTGCCTATCATACCCCTTGGAGTTAGAAAAATATTCCCACTAGTCGGGTAAGCCTTGCGAGTACATTGTGTACTCAGGGTTTATTTTACACTGTTGTAGGTGCAGCTTGAGGAGTTGCTCTTGTGTGGATGATTCTTTTAGTGGACACAGACGGATCCTTGTATCTTTTCCACTAGATATTTATTTTTATTCCGCTGTTTAATTATCGCACTCTGAACCCTAGTATTGTAATAAATAATTTCCATGAACTCTTGTTATATGAAATAAACTAAGTATTGTAAGCTCGTACTCATTATTGGATTCTGGAGGTAAAACGTGGATTGATTCGAGTTCTCCCGTGGGGTGTACTCGACGGAACTGTCTGTCTGATGTAGCTAACTTTCAGTGTGCTTGGTGTCTAGTGGAAGACGAGCGCCTCCGAAAACATATTATTTCGGACGGTTCTGCCGCATATTCGAATCTCTGCAACTCCCATGTTTTATATGACACATATTGGACAGAGTTATTAAAGTAACCTAGATATTTATAGGAATCCTAATCAAAATAGCTCTATCCGATTCTGAGTAACCTGAATACAAATACAAACTGCCATAACTCGTTCAGGATTCCATAAAAATCATACAACTAATAGAGATATGTACATACATTCTACATTTTTATGATCACACGGATAATCTAGATTAATCCCAAAACTATAACTAATTATTAAATATTAAAGAGCAAAAAAATTCTCGGTAACGAGTTATATTTGATTTTTTTCTCTCGTTGCAACGCACGAACATATTTGCTAGTATAAATAAAGGACGAATTGATTCTTTGGTCTTCCTTTCTTTTTAATCTCTAATAAAGTTGTATTTCTTTTTAATATTTAATAAAGTGCATGCGCTTTCGACTCTCCTGACCTCTGTTTAACAAATAGGGACTCATGACTTATACTCACACGAGTTATTAGAAACGCATGTACGTCCAGTAATATTATAGGGGGCGTTTGGTTGCCCGCATCCTGTCGATCCAAGCTCCACAGATGCAACATTCCCATGATTGGTTTGCTGAGCGAAAGCGCCGGCCAGGCTGAAGCCGTGCAAAAGCTGCCGCCGGGCCTGGCTCACCCCATGCGCAATTTTTAGTCGTTCCTTCAGAGCCTGGCTAAGGCGATGCGAGAGCGCGTACGCGGGCGTGCGGGTGAAAGCTAAAAATCATCGTGGCTGCTACTGGATCAGGAACCAAACACCAGCGCTCCTGCTAGGACCCGTTGCACGTCTTCAACCTGTCTGCCATGGGCCTGGATGCCCAGAGCGAGCCAGGCCTGGCTGGGAAGGCAAACAAACACGGTAGTTACATAAATCTTTAGGCCACAAGTCATTCAGATGACCCCACAACAAGATATACACGTTCTGTTGCAACACACGTGTGCATTTGCTAGTTAAACAGGTAGCTCTAAATTTTTGTGGATTTCTTGTGGCTAGCTCTACCAAATAGGCCCCGGTACGAGATGAATTTTGATATATCTTAGGATCTGACTGAATTTTTTTGAGAATCTTGCTCACTATTCTTCCTTTTTAAATAGCTTAATGATTTTTATTATAGTCACAAAATACTTGTTTTGAATACATGATGTATCACATGCAAAAATTATCGAAATCATCCCATACATCATACTGCCAAGGCGCGTATTAACTGAAAATGCACCCGGTACAAACCTATCAAAGCTCCTGCGTTCAGTGTTATTTATATTTTATTCACTTCTTCTGCGACGAAGGTTTATCAACATGCCACACGACAAGTTATGACATCTGGAAACAAATAATTTCCCCCATGTGCCACTGCCACACAAGAAAACTCCATTCGACCTCAAGCAGGTAGCAAACGTCTGGAGTCAGCACAATGTACATGACAGTATTCAGGTAGCAACGGGCCAAACTAGCTGAACTATACAAATCTAATTTGCATTAGCGTCTAGTGCAACATAACGGACGAGGATGATGAAACATCCATTAAATTAGGGTAGAAAATATTTACAAGACGAAACATGCATTAAACTAGGCTACTAGCAGGGATACAAAAACCCTACAAACAGGCGTCCCTTAGGCATCCACAGGAGCATACAAAAGCTGATAAAGGGCAGACATCCACAAGAGTATATATACAAAAGCTGATAAAGGGCCAAGTACACTAATTTCCCTAACTCCACAGCAAAAGTCTAGCACATCTGCTAGTGCTTCACCGGAAAACAGCTTGAACCAGGCAGACCTCTGCTCAGGCTGACATGAAACCTTTTGGTTGGTCAGCTGTTTTCCGGCGAGCAGCTCATGCCCTGCTTATATTAGTGGAGGCGATGTTTCCTGGCCATAGACCACCACCAATCGGCTCCCCCCGGATAGCAAGTACCAACGAACCTTCACGCTGCATCTCTTGAATGAGCTGCTCGAGTTTTGGAGTTTGTCCAGCAACGAAACAAAAAAACTTGCCAGGGGGAACCCCCACAATTGAGTCGCTCCGCCCATGATTTCCGGGTATGGTAGCAGCATTGGTATCATTTTCATTAGCTTCAGTAGGTATGGTGGCAACTTCAGTTGTTACGGCGGCAGGATCGGTAGCAACTGCAGCAGCTTCAGTTGTTACGGCAGCAGGACTGGTAGCAACTGCAGTAGCTTCAGCACGGTGCAGAGTGTGACGCAATGCATCTCCCAGTTGTCTTTCTTCAGGAGCTTCAGGTCCAAAGTCCATGTCGGGGGACCCTGGAACACCTCTAGTTGCTGCAGCTTGCTGCATGCTCTTAGCAGGCGACTTCCAGTGGACTTCTTGCACCTCATCTTGCTGGTTTGAGGCATGCTGTTCCTCCTCTTTCTCCTGTGCGCAACACACTGTATCATGTACTGGCTCTGCAACTGTAGCACATTGACCTTGTCTTGGCCTGAATACACCCCACAAGTAGTGTTTCCTTTGAAAAGCTGCAAAATTTAACATGATGAGTGACGGAACCCCGGAACAGTAGAAATGTAAGGAAAAAGCTAGGTCTAATGAATACTTATTGAGACTACTCTCAAACTTGATATTTGGCACATCAAATCAGGTGCAGAATCATATTTTGTCCATTAAAAGAGATCCTATTTGAAGAAAGAAAAAGCACTACACGTACTCTTGTATCTTTCAGGCAGTAGAGTAGAAGGAAATATCAGCATCTCAGCTTCACCAATAACAGTCTGCAGGACCAGATCATCCTCTATGACTTCCTTCACTAGTTTATCCAGATCTTCATCATGCCTATGACACACAAAAAAACAATACTAAGAAATTTCACGTAAAAACGATAGCATAAGTAATGCAATGAAATTCAGGGATAAAGCAAGATACCTCAACTTATTAGGGAAGAAATACAAGCCAATGCTGTCACAAGAGGGTTTTGATGTCTCCCATATTTTGAACTTTGACCTGGAAAGCTTTGTCACTTCAACAACCGGCATCAATGATCTTGAAAGTTCCCATACTTTGTCACACGATTTGGTTGACAAATGTCCAGCCAACGATATGTATTCCTCTCTGTCTATCTTAAAGATTCCACTGTTGAAATAATCAACAAAATGTTAGCATAGTAAGAAGAATTGGATAATACTATAAAATCAACAACATATCTTCTAAAAATACCTCCAAATAGGTTCATCAATAGGCTTTGAGCAATAGTTGCATTGCTTCTTGACATGTTCCAAAACAAATGGTGTAGGCACTTCGGCCAGACAATCTATCGGAATAGGAGCTTGTGATGTCAATCTCAAACTATCGTCATCAGCATCCAAAGGACTATGATCACCACCATCAACATGTAATTCTTCATCTTCATTTCTCATGATGTCTTGTCTCCATTTCTTCAACTTTCTATGAGTTAGTTTCTCCGGTTGTGTAGCTTCATTGGTACAATCAAGTGACACATCATCTTTTGGCAATGATTCTAATTTTTTCTTAGCAAAGCTGTCATCGGCTTTGCCATCACCAACTTCATTTGATTCTATGCCTCTTTTCTTCTTATTCTTCGGTCTACAATCACGGGCCTCCACATCTTCAACCTCCATGAGTTCCATATCACCGTTATCAATGGCTTCATCTTCATTTGTTTTCGTGTAGCCTCGTTGTCTCTTCATCGAACCATAAGTTAGATTCCTTTCACTATAATCTTTGACACCAAAAGGATAAACATCTCCATTGATTTCATCCATAGGATTTCTATCACTAGTATGATCTCCTTTGGCTTCTTTGTTTCTTTGTTTCTTCATCCACTTAGGAGATGCTTCCTCCGTTGCTTTAATCGTCAATTCCCTATCACTATGGTTATCGACGATAAAACCTCCTCCATTATCAAGACTTACTTGCCTCTTTAACCCAGAAGGTAAGGCATCATTGCATCCATCCAATCCATCAAAATTCTTTGGCCTGTGAACCAGTCCTGCCATTGCCTTAAATTGAGGTGATTGAGAATTATTAATATGCTTTGATCTATTCATTGTTGTCTTCGCTTTCAAGGGGTCATGGTCCTCTAAGCTTCTCAATACAACAATGGAATCATCTCTTCTAGTAACATTTCCGTTTGGCATGATGGCTTCTACTCGTTTGGTGTTGTTATTCTTTCTAGGGGAATCTTGCTTGATTGGTCGCAAGGCGTGACTGATTTGTCGATTTGCTTCAACTGGAACACTCCTTTTGTTGTCAGTCCTTGACAATGGTGCCAAACACACATGCATTGCAGAGGAGTAATTGTGCTTGATGTTCTTATCCTTCAAAGGATTTCGTCTATCTAGTTTTGAAGCAAGGTATGAAACACCATCATCTCTTCTATTGTTTTCGCGAGCATTCCTTAGTAAAGGATCCAAACTTACATCCATTCTAGAAGAGTTCATGTGTCTAGTGTTACTATCCTTTAAAGGGGTTTGTCCAACTAACAACGAGGCAACATTATCTCGCCGATTTGCATCATTTGCAACATTATCTCTTTTGTTAGTTTTACTTGTGTTCATTGACGACGAAGCCAATTTTTCATTCGACAAAATGTTGCTCTTGTGTCCGATGTTGCTATCCATGACGGGCTTACCACGATGATTAGCTCCACTTGCAACACCATGGCCACCTCTACTACTCGCATATGGACAAAACCTAGTTGCATCCATTCTAACCTGCTTTTCAATTTTTTTCCCGGTCACGGATCCAAATCTACTTTTAGGTCCCCTTGACATGAGTGCAATCCTACAAGAATAAAATTTGGAGAATGAATCCACTGTGCGTCCTTAGATTGTTGCACGCGCACAAAGTTACACCCAATAGTAAACATTCAATTCACAATTCCCAACCTTGACTCCAACCACACGAAGTGTATCGGAACTCAATTAATATAGTAGGTTAGCATGTTACTCTAATGTACTTCAACTTCACCCCACCTTTCTTCGTCCACACCTAGGGATGGCAACAGGGACCCGATCCTCGAAAGGGATTTCATCCATTAAGGAACTGGGATGGTACGTTTCTACTCGCCATGGAGATACTAATGGCCTGCTTTCATCCCCCATCAACAGAAGCGCTGAAGGAAACATGCTCCTTGTCCCCAAACTCGATCCCGTCGGGGTCCATGTTATGTCCTTTCCTGCCTGCGCTATGCATATGATATATGTTGAAAGAAGCCCAACATCCTATATTTGGCCCAACCCCACTAAAGACGTATAAATTCCTCCAAACCCTAGCCCCTTGACCCCTTCACTTATTCTTTCTCGTTCCCGAGCAACCAGACACCTCACGCCCACACGCGTCCAAGGCTCGCGGTCTCCCACACGGCCACGTTCTCCATTGGTGCCACACCGCACTGCCGAGGTTCCGCCTCCCAAGTCGTCTCTCGCCGTGCCGCCACTTTCTAACTTTTCTTACCATCCCTCTCTCCACTAGCTAGTACCCACCGCAGGCAGCAAGCACCAAGGAGCCAAACCAGAGCTTCCATGGCAGCTGTGGGATCCTCTTGTTTGTCTTGCTGCCATAAACTTGATGCCGATGTCAATTTGTTGTTGGTCACTTCGAGAAACTTTAATATGTAGTCTGTCTTAGTGTCTTTCTATGGATCTATGAGACTACTGAACTTGCAAAAGAATGAATGGTGAATGGATGAATTGTTGTTTGTCATGTTTGTTTTCATTTGGTATATGTTTGTATGTACTTCCAATTCTTTGGCTGCTATTGAATTCTGCTAATTTTTGCAACTTACAAATGTTGTAGTCTTCTTTCGATGTTGCTTTATGAGGAATTATCAGGGACGGAGACCCCATCGGGTGTGTAATCCCCATTTGGGGACACGGATGGGGGAAAACTTGCCTCGAAAGCGCAGTCGAGGACGGGGAGCAGGGCATCAAATTATGTCGATGATGAGAACGTTAAGGAAAAACTCGATAGGGATAGGCCCGTTGCAATCCCTAACCACACCAAACCCATTCATTTTTTCTCTACACAAGTTCTAGCCACTAGTGAGAAAAGAACCAAATTATTGAACGCAAACCAACTTCAATGGATCACAAATAACAAATTTACTATGACAAAGCCCACCCTTGACTTTATCATACGAAGTTAGCGATAATCCATATGGGTGGAACCATATTTGATGAAAGAAGACAAGCAACATTGCTAATGGGGCTCACTAGCAAATGCCACAAGAATGGTTGGCCAAAATTTTTAAGAAAAGGAAACGAGAGAATAGGTCAACAAATTTATTGCAACATCCCATATATGACCTCTTAAATATTTAAACCATATTCTACTTTCTTGGCTTCTGTTTTGTGCTTGGAGCTCAACACTCAAGCAGCATGAGATAATCAACGAATGGGTCAAGGGGCTCCAAGCTACCTGATCTATTTCTTCGCTTAGAGGCTCGATAATTGGCTTCTAATTGGAATTTGCAAAAAGTCCATTTTACTACCCAAAATATCGCAAATTTAATCCATGGAACCAAAGGCTTAGGTAGTGGCCCTCAACAATATACAAGGGTGGTGGGTGTTGGCACTAGTGTTCATGAGACATGCAATACTGGTATGACTTCCTTATGACGTATGAACACAAATGACAAATACAAGGAAAAAAGTAGGACTGGGCACATTTAACCCGAAAACCAAAACCCGAACCGAAACCGAACCGAAGTGTCGGTTTTTCAGTTCTTAGGTTTGGTTTCGTCTTTTATACCTGGGAAGTTCGGCGATGGTTCTCGGCTTCGATTTTAGGGTCTTGAGAACCGAACACCCGAAGGAACCGATCCTCAGGAGCAGGGCACAGTCGTATCCCTCTTCTCTAGATAGTAGCAGCCCAATGGACCAATATGGCCCAAGACCAACGCGCATGCCTCAGCTGGTCAGCCCAAACACACCGAAACCCTATCCAATCCAGCATGCAATGTAGAGAGCGGACTGGGCGGTGCGATGACACAAGCAGGCGATGCGGCCGCGACTGCAAGCAGCGAGCGCGGGCAAGCGACACCAAGAAGGGAGCCTGAGAAGGAGGCGGCGGACAGTGGGAGCGCAAGCAAGAGGCTGCGGCCGGCGGGCGCGGCTACAAGGGCTGCCCGCAAGCGGCTCTTTGGCGGCGGCCGGCGCGGGAGCGTGCCCGCGCGCTCAGGGATGGGGTCGGGGCGGCTGGCGGGAGCGGCGCCCGCGGTGGCGGACTGGCGCCGTAGCTCCTCGGGCCTCGGCGGTCGGCGCGCAGTTCTATTTCTCCCTCTCACTCTTCTCTGTGTCGATCAGTTTGCTCGGTTCAAATAGAAAACCGAACCGAAAAACCAGACACCAAACTCGTTGGTTCCTTCTGCAATAAACCGATCGGTTACTGGATCCTAGAAACCAAAGTTTGTAGAAACCGGCGAAACTGAACCGAATAATCGGTTAAAACCGATTGCCCAGGCTGAGAAAAAAGAAGAGTTTGCCAAGAAAGGCCCACCTTTTTTAAGGATGCATGGCAAATTCACATGGCTGTACGAAATTCCAAACTATCAAACTGTTGTTACAAATTATTGAAGCATTGTGTATCAAAAACCATAAAATACTTTTAAGGGATAATGTGGTCTCACATGATATTTATGCAGACCCTTCCATTTAAGATCATAAAATTGAAATTTGGCTAATTTGACTTCACAACATCTAGTTATATTCCTCAAAATTTGTGAATTTTTTCAAAAACAAACAACCCCCCACCAATCCAATAGAAAACTACATATATGGTGGTGACTAAAGGTCAATATTGAAGAGTATTTGAACACATGACAATAACTTTCTCCTTGGGGAGTTCTTTAAATAAAATTATATTTTGCATTTTCCCTAAGTTTTTCCATAATAAGAAAATTAAAAAGCAGAGAAGAAACATATTATGTGTAAGTCCTAAAAAATAAGTCAATTTAGAGAAGTAAAAAAAATTGTGAGCATGGGAGAAATGTTCCATCCTCACTGTTAGTCGAAGGGCTGAGATTAAGCCATGTCACCTCAACCCATCAATGCCGATCTTATGGCTGATGGTGAGCCATGTCGTAGAGTATGCATTTGCAATATGCTTATAAAATCCACTCTCCCAGAGGAAAGACACTTTTTTTAGCAACATTCAACAAATTGGAAACTCATTGGTCAAGACTTACACAACTCTCTCTTCTAGTATACTGTGATTTTCATGCAAAGTAATTATGCAAACAATCACATGCATTGGATCTGGAAAACTTCATATACAATTTGATAATTGTTCTCAGATTTGACAAATCAAATGAAAAGAACCATATTCACAAGCTACGAGATATGACCTCTTTATTTGACTACCAAAATATTCTATTTGGATGCACATAATTTGACTAGATGATGGCACATATAATTGAGCCACATTTGCATTTTAGGAATATAGTTTCCCTTCATTAGAAGGGATATGATAACATCACCCAATATGTTCAATCACCAAAATGAGCCAAAGTTTTGAAACAACAAGCATTTGCTCTGTTTGGTAGAGCGGTAAAAAAGGCACTTCTTTGAGAAGTACAAATGAAGCAAAAACACAATCAAAACAAGCTGGTTTGATCTAGTTTAAAGCTAAGGCCAGAAAAAGCTCCAAAAAAACACGCCGTGGATTAAGCAGGTGAAACATACGTAGCACACATTGCTGCACGCTGAGTCTAGTGCCTTCATGGCCCCGTCGACATGAGCAGCAGGGTACATGTCCAGTCAAGCACAGGCAGGCAGCAGTGAATCCCGTGCAGGAATGAACGTGTTATATAAACTACAAGTGTGACCTGGGCTGCCAGGACCAAAATGCATCTACTCGCTTATTGTTTTTAGATCAAAGTCATTCATCCGGCCTCATTAGAAAGCTTAACAAAAGCCAAATTTTCAGCGCTGGGGAGACCAGCTTACAAAATTCAGGCGCAGCATGAGAATCCAGCACTACCCGGCTAACAAAAGGAGTTAAGTTTGGCAAGGCCACTTCAACACCCAAACCACTGACATAAGCTAATCTATTGGAGCATCTAGTCTAGCTTATTGGTTGCTACTCCTACTACTTTGCTATCAACCACCACCATTGCCTTTGCATCCAATCTGCGCTGAAACTGCTGATGCAGGAAGAACGAGTAGTCGTGAGCGAGGAATCGAGGATTGGGCTCTTACCATCGATCTCACGAAGAGACCCAAATCGCCCAGTCTGAATCACTGAATGCCATAACAGTGTCAGCACTGCTCCTATGGTTCTGGTGATACATAACGAGGAACCAACCACGGATGAGCAGGCCCGGCCCGTCCGTGAGCGCCGGCCCAACGTCAGGCTGTCTGGCCCAGAATGGAGTGTTTAGACAAGATAGTATAAGACTAGAGTATGTGAGGCCGAGAGAGATCAGACTGGAATGTAACAAGTATATTATGTTCAAGTACTCCTCTGTTAAACATTTTCTGTGATTCCTGCAGTTAAATTCAGTATATCACATTTCCAGTAGAATTTGGTTCTTCCTTTCGAGCCAGAGATTCCACTCTAACAATTGGTATCAGATTTCGCCTCCATCGATCCTGCCCCATCTCCCAGTTCGATCCGCACCCTAGACGCGCTGGAACCTCACCAAATCCACCACACCCACTTCACCGATTCCGTGGTACCCTGGGCGCCATGGATCCCCAACTCAAGGCCATCCTCGACGAGATCTACAAGTCCAAAGAGGATTTCAATCGCCGATTCGACGCCCACGACGAGCAGTGGAAGGGCCGGTTCGCCGATCTCGACCGCGCCGCCGCCGTCGACAAGCGCTTCGACGCCCTTGAGTCCACGTGCTCCGACCTCGCCTTCGACGTCGGCAAGAGGGTCGCCGATCTGGAAGCTATTCGCGGTGGTAAACTCCTCCCCGACAGCTCCGACCGCGTTACGGCTCTCGAGGTCGCCACCACGGATCTCGGTACCTGGCGCCCGGAGATCGAGGCCCTCGTGGATGATCTGAAGCTCGAGGTGAAGAAGCTCTCCCAGCCTCCTGACCGCAAGGTGTTCGACGCCCAGCCGCAGTGGCCCAGCGTTGCACTTCCTTCTTCCTCGACGTCCTCCCGTGCGCTCGCCGGTGCGCCCGTCGAATCGCCTAGTGGGCACGGCACTGCATCATCTCACCGGGACGTTGGGTTTGGGTCAGTCATGACCTGGACGAATGTCCCGGTCACGGGTAAGCCTCCAGATCCTCCTCCTCTACCTAATTCCTCCGCCCTGCAGCGTCCTCCTATTCCCCTTCATTATCATTCCCCCCCTTCGCTCACAATTCCACCTCGTCCGCCTTTTCCATCCCCACTGTTCCAAGCTCCATCCCCACACAATCTTCCTCATCATCATGCCGGTCGTCTTCCCAAACTCCCCTTCAACAAATTCAACGGTGACAATCCTCGTCTCTGGCGTTCCAATTGCGAGAAATATTTCCATATGAATGTCGTTGATCCATCTCTCTGGGTCAGTGTTGCTTCCATGTATTTTTAGGGCAATGCTGCTTGCTGGTATGAGTCCATCGATAATACACCGGCCATCGCTACCTGGACCACATTCTGTCAATCTCTCCATGATCGCTTTGATCATGACCAACATGAGGCCTTCATTCGCCAGCTCTTCCAAATTAAACAAACCTCTACTATCACCGATTATGTTGAGCGTTTCACCAAACTCGTCGATCAGCTTAAGGCCTATTCTGCTACTACCGATCCACTCTTTTATACTATGCGCTTCGTTGATGGCCTCCGCCCTGAGCTCAAAGCTATTATTCTTGTTTCCAAACCCAAAAGCTTGGATGCTGCTATTTCTATGGCATTGGTGCAGGAGGAGGTGGCCACGGTGCCGACGTCTCGCGCGTCGTCCCCGATCGATTGGACATCGTCCAACAAGTTTATCCCCAAGACGGCGTTGCCATTGCCACTTCCACCACGGCCTGACAAGCCGCCGGCCCCTACTGCAGCAACACCGACACAAGCTACGATGTCTGCTGATGCTAAGTTGGCCGCCGTCAAAACATATCGCCGCGCCATGGGTCTCTATTACAAGTGTGGCGCCAAGTGGAGCAAGGACCACAAGTGTAATCCTCAGGTTCAGCTCCATGTTGTCCAGGAATTGTGGGATCTCCTTCAAGATGAAGACTCCAGTGATACAGCTACTCCTGCCGATTCTGAACCTCAGGCTTTCATGGCTCTATCACAATGTGCCCTCACTGGCAGCTCTGCTCCTCGTACCGTTCAGTTCTCAGGCACAGTTCAAGGCCTTCCAGTGCATATCTTGCTCGATTCCAGCAGTTCCACTTCCTTCATCAGCGAGTCAATGGCAACTCAGCTTAGCCGGGTGTCTGTCAAGCAGTCTCCGTGCACTGTTCGTATTGCTGGTGGTGGTACTCTCACAAGTTCAGTTATTCTGCTAGCGGTTCAGTGGTCTATTGGTCAAGTTGCTTTCACCTCTGACCTTCGAGTCCTTCCACTAACTGCATTTGATGTGATTATTGGAATGGATTGGTTAGAATCATTCAGTCCTATGCAGGTTCACTGGCAACTTAAACGGTTGGTCATTCCTTATAAGGGCAGCACTGTTATTTTGCAAGGCGAGTCTGTGGATGCTCCAAGCCAGTTGTTTTTACAAGTCTGCAGTATGGACAGTACACCTGACACCTTCTCATCTGCCGGTCTTCCTCCTGAAATATAGTCCATACTTGATGAGTTCACTGACTTGTTTCAAGTTCCAGACTCCTTGCCGCCTTCTCGCCCCTACAACCATTCAATCCCACTTCTTCCTGGTTCCCAACCCTTCTACATCCATCCTTATCGTTATCCTCCAGCACTTAAGGATGAGATTGAACGCCAAGTCCATGATATGCTGTCACAAGGGCTTATTCAGCCAAGCAACAGCATGTTCTCTTCACCAGTCCTCTTAGTGAAGAAGAAAGACCTCTCGTACAGGTTCTGTGTTGATTTCCGGAAATTAAACTCTATGACTGTTAAGTCCAAGTATCCGGTTCCTGTCATTGATCAGCTCCTGGATGAATTGACTCATGCCAGTTGGTTCACCAAACTTGATCTGAGAGCCGGCTTTCACCAGATCTTGCTACAGCCTGGAGATGAACACAAGACAGCATTCCAGACCCCACTTGGGGCACTTCGAGTTCCGTGTTATGGCTTTTGGATTGACCGGGGCACCAGGCACTTTTCAAGGGGCGATGCATTGCACGCTGGCTCCTGGGTTGCGCAAGTTTGTCCTCGTCTTTTTCGACGATATCTTGATTTACAACCGCACTTTGGCCGAGCACATCACTCATCTTTCCTAGGTGCTGTCTTGGCTTCGTCGAGATTGAAATTATCCAAGTGTTCCTTCGCTCAACGATCCATCGCCTATCTCGGGCATGTGCTCAGCGCCAATGGCGTAGCTACAGACCCTTCCAAAGTGTAGGCTATCAAGGACTGGCCAAGACCTACAACGGTTCGTGCCCTTCGCGGATTCTTGGGCCTGGCAGGTTATTACCGCAAATTTGTCCGGCATTTTGGCATCATTGAACAACCCTTGACTGAGCTTCTCAAGAAGGATGCACCATTCGTTTGGACATCTTCCCAGCAAGAGGCTTTTACTGCTCTTCAGTCCGCCTTGAGCACTGCTCCAGTCCTGGCCCTTCCGGATTTTCAGCGGCCTTTTCACATTGATACCGACGCCAGTGGAGTTGGTATTGGCGCCGTGCTTCACCAAGATGGGCATCCCATTGCTTTCATCAGTAAGACATTATGCCCTCGTAACCATGGGCTGTCCGCTTACGAGGAGTACCTGGCAATCCTTCTGGCGGTTGAGCATTGGCATCACTATCTCATCCAAGGTGAATTCTTCATCCACACTGACCACCGCAATCTCACTCATCTCAATGAGCAGCGTCTTCATACGGTGTGGCAACAGAAAGTTTTTACCAAATTGCTGGGCTTGAGTTACAAGATTGTGTATAAAAAAGGTTCCGATAACACCGTCGCTGATGCCTTGTCACGCCGTGATACTGAGGAAGTCTACATGGCAGTTTCTTCCTCTTCACCCCAATGGTTGTCCGACGTGGCCAGCTCTTATTCTGCAAGTCCACTGGCTCAAGATATTTTGTCTCAGCTGGCTGTAAATCCGGCTGCTTTGCCCCATTATTCGCTCAGCAATGGCGTTATCCATTACAAAGGTCGTATCTGGCTGGCCCACAGTGAGCAACTCCAGAATCAAGTGCTCCAAGCTCTGCATTCCAGTCCACTAGGCGGTTACTCCGGTATACCAGTTACTTATCAGAAGTTGCGCCAGCTCTTCTTTTGGCCTGGCATGCATGCAGCCACAACACATTTTATCAGAGCTTGTGATATCTGTCAGCGCGCCAAACCTGACCGTTCTCCTTCCCCAGGCTTACTTCAGCCCCTCCCTATTCCTTCGGCCACCTGGGAAATCATCAGTATGGACTTCGTAGAAGGCCTTCCACCTTCCGGCTCAGCCAATGCACTCCTGGTGGTGGTTGACAAGCTCTCGAAGTTTGCTCATTTTATTCCTTTGCGTCATCCATTCACAGCAGCTACAGTGCTCTCCTCTTCATGGATAATATCTATCGGCTTCATGGAATGCCGCTAGCCATCATATCTGATCATGACCGCATTTTCACAAGTGCCTTTTGGAAGACTCTTTTCAGCATTGCCGGCACCACCTTGTGTATGAGTTCCGCTTATCACCCACAGACGGACGGCCAGACGGAGCGTGTTAATCAGTGTCTTGAAACCTACCTCCGCTGCTTCGCCCACGCCTGTCCTTCCAAGTGGACTCAATGGATCGCCCTCGCGGAGTACTGGTACAATTCTTCTCACCACTCTTCATTGGGTCGATCTCCATTCGAAGTTCTGTATGGCTTTCCTCCCCGGCACTTTTGTCTTCGTCCTCCTACTGCCACACCTGTTGCTGATCTGAACTCTTGGCTAGATGACCGAGCTCTGATGACATCCTTGATTCAGCAACACCTCAGCCGGGCTCAGACCCTCATGAAGCGCCAGGCCGATAAGCACCGCTCTGATCGTTCATTTGCTGTTAGTGATTGGGTCTTCTTGAAAGTTCAGCCTTATGTGCAGTCTTCCCTCGCACGCCGTGCTAATCAGAAGCTCGCCTTTCGGTTCTTTGGCCCATACCAGATCCTGGAGCGTATTGGTCCAGCAGCTTATAAGCTGGTCCTTCCTTCTTCCTCCTCCATCCATCCAGTCTTCCATGTATCACAGCTCAAAGTTTCTCATGGTAAGATGCCGGTGTCTGATGTTCTTCCTGATGAGCTTGCCCAGTTTCAGGTGCCTCAACGGTTACTGGATCGCCGTTGGACTCCGGGTGCTTCACCTGTGGAGGAGGTCCTTGTGCAGTGGTCCCAAATGCCACCGTCGTTGGCTACCTGGGAGCCACTGGATCACTTGCAGCAGCGCTTTCCAAGAGCTCCGGCCTGGGGTCATGCCGGTTCCAAAGGAGGCGGGATTGTCAGCACTGCTCCTATGGTTCGGTGATACATAACGAGGAACCAACCACGGATGAGCAGGCCCGGACCGTCCGTGAGCGCCGGCCCAACGTCAGGCTGTCTGGCCCAGAATGGAGTGTTTAGACAAGATAGTATAAGACTAGAGTATGTGAGGCCGAGAGAGATCAGACTGGAATGTAACAAGTATATTCTGTTCAAGTACTCTTCTGTTAAACATTTTCTGTGATTCCTGCAGTTAAATTCAGTATATCACATTTCCAGTCGAATTCGGTTCTTCCTTTCGAGCCGGAGATTCCACTGCTAACACAGTGTTTACTATTTACCATCCATAATCACGCACAGCCAAGATCGGCCATCCCTAGAAACCAACAAGGCTGAGATCCCGCCCCGAACCAAACGACTGCTAAATCTTCGGTTCTTATGAAATCATCATCATCGACTACTAAATAAAATCCTTAAACAAGGATCCCCTGAGCGCAGAGCGCACGCGAGGATACAAAGCACACAGGAGCAGAGCAATCATTCCATAGAAAAAGAGCACACAGGATGACAGGACAAGCGCATACCTAGAACAATGGTTCACCCTAGCAAGAATCAAGATACATTCGGGGAAAAAAATCGACGAGAGAGGCCGTTCGTACCTTAGGTTTGTTGTTCCTTTCCAAGAGCAAAGACGAAGCCGCGGCCAGCAGGCCAAAGAAACGAACAGCAATCTCAGGAAAACCGGCAAGAAAGCTCCAACCGGATGGCCTTCGCCTTGGAAAAATTTGAGAAGCAGGAGCCCTCGAACCCGTCGGCCACCGGCGGCGAGGATCGAAAAAGAAGCGGAGTAGGGGGGAAACTGGAAATCCAAAACCGCACCGCAGTTGTCAACTGTAAAGTGACGTTCTGGTGGAGTGGAGACGCCACGCCGCGAGGGAGGCGAAATGGAACGGCGCGTGGAGAGACGTGGAGTGAATGGAGTGGAAAGGCAGCACAGCAGCAGAAGCGACGCGTCCGGCGAGTATTGCGCACACGACTGCTGATGCCACGGATGTGGAACGGACGTCGGTTTCTGCTGAAACTTCAATGCGCCTTTCCGAAGGTGCCGTTGTTTGGATCCTGGATTTTATTTAGAGATTTTAGAATCCAGATTTTAGATTAAAAAAAAATCTCTCCTGTTTGTATCCTGGATTTTTTTAGATAGAGATTCTGGCGTGGTTTTAGTGGCCTGGGCAGAGCAGCGTGCGGCGGCCTGGCGCGTGCTGCCGAGGCGAAGGTGGCTGTACGTCCCGCGCTGCCGAGGTGGAGATGGAGGCGACGACGGCGACGCGGCTCGAGCGTAGCGGAGGCGGCCGATGCTGCTAGATGCGGATGAGGGTACAGATTGTCTTTTTCACGTGGGGGAGGAGGTAGAATCCGAAATAAAAATCAGGGCGGCTGTGGATTCGCGGATTCTGAAATTCCAGGCTCTGGATTTTTCTTACCTCGTCTAGAATCTCTACCGTTTGGCTCCCTTATGGATTTCAAAGGGATCCAGACAGGCCCTGAAGAGACCAGAGGTTTCTAGTGCTCGCTGGAGTGCGAGAAGCCAAAGCTAGGTACGACGGAGAAGCTCCTCGGAGCTTCGATCGGGCTCGAGAGGCCGGCGTGGCCAGCGGATAAGGTCGAACGCGGCGCGGCACTGTGCCGTGTCCGACTGTCCGTGCGGCGAGGTCGGCCAAAGCCTGCGAGGGATGACCGACGTACACGTGCAGCCGGCGCTGTGGTGGCGACGTGGCGTACGGGCGTGGAGCGGTGCGGCAGTGGTGGCCCGGACCCAGGTCGGGGCGTGCCGTCCGCGGTGATGCGACGTGTGCGTGTGGTGCAGCGTTCATGCATGCTGCGACTCAATGCGTTTAGTTCGTGAAATTTAGAAATTTGGTTGAGTTAGTATTTTCGTTTTTATTTAACAATTAATGTTTAATTATAGATTAATTAGGTTTAAAACGTTTGTCTCGTGATTTTTAACCAAATCGTGTAATTAGTTTTTTTCGGTCATATTTAATGCTCCATATATGTATCGTAAAATTTGATGTGCATTTTTTAAAAAACTTTTTAGAACTAAACAGGACTGCAGCATTCCGGTTGCAAGCGACGGGCAGATACGGGCAAGGTGCTGTACTGTATATGATCCCATCAGTCCGATCTAATCTAAAAAATCAGTTCGACGGAA